GTAATTCATGGGTTGGTTCGACAGGAGGACAGGACGGACACGAGATGATTGTGTCCAAGTCCCGGCTTATATTTACCCATACCACCCAATATTGGTTTCAACATTGTGATTGATTGCTTAAGTCGACAGGAGGACAGGAAAAACGGGTTGGACAGGTATTCCTCGCGTCCTGGTCGCGGCTTATACCCTGCCAAACCGGACAATATTTGGCTGGCGAATCTTGGATAAACACCGCACCGCACCGATCGGTGCAGACTGCACACTTGGCGCCCGTATGCACTGCACCTCACCGCACCGCACTGCACCGCACCGCACCGAACCCACCCGAACCGCAACGCACAGTGCAACGTCGTTGCGGATAATGCGGCCGGCTTGGGCCGCAGTGTGCCGCACAATCCGTTAAAATGCCAGTGACGCTTAATGGATCATTTAGTCAATTTTTGGAATTGCGCCCAAAGGCGCCACCGTCAGATCAATATAAAAGGCATTTCGGGGGTTGTCGGCCCTCATTTCCAAGAGTAGCACGTCGAAAATCCGGCAAGCACTTAGAGGGAAGGTAGGGGGCGACCTTGGTATAGGCGGGGCGCCCTCACACCAATCTTGCCTCCAAAAAGGGACCTTACATACATACATATTAGCAAGCTCCCGAAGGGTTCCAAACTCTCGTACTACACTGTGTTATTTTTTTTTTCTTCTCCGCGGAAGGAATTATAACGGATTAGCAGTATACAGTTTTCCCTTAGGTTCCCAAGTTGCGATATGTATGCCATGTATGTAAGGCCATACCTGAAAAAGATGCAATATTGTAATTGACTTTTTGGAGAAGAGAATATAACAGATTAGTAGTACAGAGTTTTCCCTCTCGGATCAAATTGCCAATATGTATGTATGTAACGCCATACCTGAGAAAAGATGCAATATTCTAATTCATTTTTTGGAGAAGAGAATATAACAGATTAGTAGTACATAGTTTTCCCTCGAGGATCCAATTGCCAATATGTATGTAAGTAAGGCCATACCTGAAAAAGATGCCATTTCGTAATTGCCTTTTCGAGGAAGAAGAAATAACCCTAGGTACTTAGGGAGTGCATGCCCGGTGATCGAACTGGTACCACTTGGGTCTCCGACTTCAGGTTTCGACCACCTTCACTCTTTTGGGTCTTGGGGGGTAATGACGTGGCGGCCTGGGAGTGGCCCAAATTTAACACCGTTGTGTTGGCTAAAAGGGGCTGTCCATAATAGGGCAGCTCGCGCTGTTTAGAACAATCTAGGAGCTAGACCTTTAGCTTCAGTAGTTTTTATCGGTTGCGGAGAGCTTCTCACGGCCGCAGCTTCTGATCCCATCATTGACATTTGAGGTGTTGTGGCATCGCTGATACGAGATTGAGTTGGCTTGGCTAATGTCTTTCATTATATGTTGATTATCATTGTCATTCTTACTATATAGTAATGCGGCGGCTCCACTTTCAACTGCATGTTGCCAACATCTGCAATGCTAAGCTGGGCATGCTCATGCACAACCGACCACACAGGCGGCATTAACTTGCACGTGTCTGGTCCGATGTGTTGCAGGCACTGACAGAGTTTCCAGTACTCAAAGTGGCTCGTTTTCCACTTCGATCGAAGATTTCCGAAGGCATGCAATCAGATTAACATGCGCCGCTCCTTCGCCCTAACAGGCATTCTTCTTATACATGATATAATACAAGCTCACCATTCTCGTGCCGGCTGAAAGCAATATGCTCTCATATGCGCGCGTGCAGATTATTGCTCAAGTAACCAAAAGCCCACCCCTCGGAAATGCGCAGAGTTGACAAACTCGCATACTCATTTGCCAAACTTTCATTGACCGTTTGTGTATAGAGATTTGAGGTATTTCAACCATTCAAGCTGCTCAAAACCTGAACGGCACATACAGGAGCTTCCACAAACGTTGTGAACAAGGATGTATCATCGAGAAGGGTTGAGTCCATGTCGAGATGAATGTCCACATCAACTTGTTCAAGTCTAGCGTCGCCCTCATACAGCCACTACACCTCTCAAACGTTTCGAGGACCACCCTCGCGACGACGGAAGGGCTCTTCACTGCTCCTCAAAGGCTAATTTCAAGGGCAAGTTGCTTCACTGCTCTCCTCACTTCCACAATCCCAGGACATTGCTTGATGTCCGAACCCTGGAACTTCATAAAGGCGTCAGAAGGAAGAGCAAAGTAAAGCTCGACAGCCCCGGGCCCGTTTTGCCGAAGGAACTCTATTGCCTTCTTCATCCCAGCGCCTTTCAGATCGTGCCTCTTGCTGACCGTGATCTGGTACAAGACATTAGGCTGCGTTGCAGAATCCACAGACTCGTTTGTCTTGCTCCGAGGTCTCAAGTACTGCCCGTCCTGCTTGCCCTGAATATCTTACCAATTGTCGAAGACCAAGGGGGCTGCGGCAGGACGCTGGAAGATCTTGTCCGAGGTGGACAGCAACGGGTCGGACAGATCCCTGATCCTGAACTGACCGCCCTCGATCAGTCTAGCGTGGCAGAAACCTTCCCACAAGTTGCCCCTAAGAGCTCCGACGGACCCCTCCCCTTCTGATGAGCTGAGAAACGTTCTTAGCGCCTCCTTCTCGTTCTTCCAGATCTGATACGCAACCCTGTGGGTAACGTATACCGAAGCCATCACCATCACGGTCGTTTCAAAGTCTCCCCGGACACGAAGATGAAGCAGTTTGTGGCTCGCTTCATTGGGGGCCGCTTGTGAACCGACCGAATCAACGAGAACTTTCAACGGTGTGGTGGAGATCGCCTTCTCGAGGAGAGCCTGAGCGTCCGAGTCCACCTTCTCCAGGACAAAGCGCGGGATGCCGCCCCATCTGCAGGATAACGAGAATCTTGTAAAACATCAGCGAGTTATGGATAGCTTTCAAAGGACCTGTGCACCCTATGCCGGGTAGGATATGTATGGCATTGAAAGGACCGGTGCACCATGGACTGCATGAGAGCATGCAACTCCTGGGAAAGAGAGGAAAAAGAACTCCCCACATATCCTTGATGTGAATGTTTCTCACTGAAGTTGAAAGCGGCCTGCTAGTCCATACCTGTCGTACCGGGCCTTTGACTCGTCGGGATCCCGGTCTGGGAAGACGCCCTCTCAGCAACTCTCCAGTTCGTCCCAGCTCCACACGTCCATATAGCGCATTCGATACCCCCACGATTTCCAGGGCTCCTACCAACAAGAAGAAGGGCACATGACATCAAGGCAGACCATCAAACAGATCTCGAGACCATCAAGTCTTAAGAAACGAGTCCAAGAACATTGGCATACAGATCTTCGAA